TTGTTGTGAATCACCATTATGAGCATTATTGAAAACATGTTCATTAACAAGCCTAGATTAATATGTTGTATGGTCTGAACTGAGACGTATGAGCAACAGGCTGTTTCTGTATGGCTTTAAAGTAATTAAACCCCATTCCTGGTGTCTTTTATCACTGTTAAGGTTCTCTGATTGAATATAATTATTTACAGCTAAATGCCTTTTCCCTACATGCATATGTTGGTGACCATATAGAAAGAGCATGATTCTAATAAGCAGGACATTCTGAGCAGTCTGCATAATGTTCTGCAAATATTTTCTGCTTTCAGGAAGTGATTGACAGCTTAGAGAAGCTGTGAGGCTCATGAAATGTGATAAAATGACATTAATAAAGAGCCGCTTTTGGTCTGTGAAAGGACAGCTGCTCTCTGTCCTGTAATTGTGAGAAATAAAAAGGTATAAAGAGAAGAGAAATGCTTCTCCCTCCTACAGCCTTTTAATGTATCACTCATAGCACATGGGACACAGATATACGAACTGTGATGTAATCAATTATATGATATCCTATTATCACATAGTAAAAGGTGAACAAGTAAATAATTACATATTGTAATCTGATTATGCTTATTGGATCTTTTGGCTCCCTGCATGTTATAGGGAGGGTTTTACATTTGATTTTGTTGTCAATAACAAGGACAAGGTAATTAAGTTGTTCTGCAAGGTATTTATGACTTCAAAACTGCAAAGAAGCAGTGCCCCCTGCAGGATATTTAGCAGAACCCCTGCAGCTCAATAATATGTTTGTTTTATTCTCAGCTTTGTGATAAATAATTGTTTTTTAATCTTGATTGCAATTTTGCATATTGCTGTCTTTTGAGTTGAATGTCCTCTGGAGCTCATCTGGTTAAAAAGCAGCGTTTTTTTTCATGACCTGTCTTTTTTGTGATTTTTTTAAATAAATGTACTTCTTTCATCATCAGCCAACATGAGTTTTTAAAGATAGAAAAGATGCGTATTACATATCTTCTTTAGTTCTTGCTTATATCAGAATTTTTTTCTTTTTCTTGCTGTCAGCGTTCTTTTCTTGTAAGAAAAAAATCACTAGTTTAAGGCAGCACAGGTATTAGTGAAAACCTTTTAGCATCTAAAGGAGTAAAATGTACGAAAAAGCTTTAGAATAACAATGAAGTTGCTCATTTTTTGCAAAAACACAAAGGAATTTCGAGTCAGAAGATTTTGGCCTCATTCCAGTCAATGACCATTCTTAGGAATGAGCAACTTATGGTCACAACTACAGTATTCAGTATAGAAGTTGAGGCTAAGGGAAGAAAACTCTTATGGAAGCATGACAGTTCAGGTTCATTCAGTGCATTACTTTGGAAATAAAAGAGAGACTTTAGTGAAGAACAGGGAAGCTAAATCCATGGCAGAAAAGTAAGAATAATTTATCCTTTTGATTTTTCAACCATAAAACGACCTGAATTAGAAAATGCACCCTCTTTAGAACTTGAGACTAAGATAAGGATTTACATTCTGTTTGAAATGCACACAGAGACCAATATTAAGCTTCAGTGACGCCATTATAGTTCATTAGAGTGATTTGTGAACATAGATTTTGAGGGGTAGGCAGTCCACTGGATCTCCCCATAAAGCTCAGCTTAACGTCTCCCCAACCAGCAGTCTACAGACTGACCAACTTCCTCTAACTCCACCACCAGTTTCTGGCTTGGGGGAAAACAGCCCTATTCTTTACTCCTGTTCATGCATTTCCATCAAAATTCAGTGCTTTGTTTCCTGCTGAGGACCAAGTAATTGTATCAAGAAATTTCTTCTATTTGTCTTTTCTCTTTGTGTGAGTTTTTCAGATTGAAATGAATGAAAATGAATAATTGGTTCAGTGAAAGTGAAACTGTGAAAGAAGCAAGAACTCAACACTGAAAATATTGTTTATTGTTTATTTATTTGGATGCCCATTAGCTGTCAGTAATTTGACAGCTACTCTTTCTGGGGTCCTTTTAAAATTATACAGATACACAAAACATATCAAATGATCACATCATAAGAACAACTATACATTTCAAATTATTTCACATTACAGTACAATCTGTTACACAAATATTCATATATTAAGGCTTTCAACAAAGTGTTTTAAATGCACCTTTTGTAGTAGCAGTCAAGATAGGAGAGAAAGATAATCAACTAGTTTAATGTGCATTTAATCTGTTAAGCTTGTATCTCCAGTGCAGATAGACAATGACTTAGACAACTTTTATTGTCTTTTTGTTTACACAGATTGTATACAAAACTAAATTTTATTTTTTACAGCTCACAGAGGGTAAATGAACATTTACATTCCCTAAAGTACAGCAGTGATCAAATGTAAACAGTGTGGGAGAAAAAACATGCCGGAAAAAAACGCATTGATATGGAAGTTCAGTGCATTAATATATGGAGCAAATATGCAGTACTTTGGTTTGGTCCTCATAAAAACTCTGCGACTTGATTTAGAGTTTTTTCAACTGTTCAGCTGTCTGATGGCGGTGGGGAAGAAACTTTTGCAGAATCTGCTGGACCTGCTTGGAATGCTGCAAAGCCTCTTCCCAGAGGGCAGCAGGGAGAACAGTCCATGGTGGGGGGTGAGGAGTAACTGATTATGTTACAGGCTTGGGACACTCAGCGCTGGGATGAAATGTCTTAAATGGATGGAAGAGGTGCCCCGATGATCTTCTCTGCTGGTCTCACATTCTTCTCACCTTCTTCCAATCTGAGACGCTACAGCCTCCACACCACACAGTGAGACAGCTGGGCAGAATGATCTCTATGGTGCTTCTGTAGGACGTGAAGATGGGTGCAGGCGGTTGGGCTCTCCTCATCTTCTGCAGGAAGTACAAGTGCTTCTGTGCCCTTTTGACCAGTGAGGTGGTGTTTACAGTCCAGGAGAGGAATTTGGTGCTGCTGACCATCTCTACAAATGAGCTGTTGATGACCAGTGGAGCGTGGTTAGGTCGGTTCTTCCTGATGTCGACGGTGATCTCCTTCATTTTCTCAACATTCAGGATCAGGCTGCTCCACCTCCTCTCTGCAGTCCTGGTCGTTGTCGTCTCTGATGAGGCCCACCACTGTGGTGTTGTCTGCAAAATTGATTGTTGGTGAACCAGGGGGCGCAGTCATGTGTCATCAGGGTGAGCAGCAGGGGGCTCAGGATGCAACCATGAGGGGAGCTTGATGTCAGAGGTGTTCTGTCCGACCCGGACTGACTGTGGTCTGTTTTTAAGGAAGTCTAGCAGCCAATTGCAGAGGGATGTATTGAAGCCCAGCAGATTACGATTATACTAGAATCATCCAAGGTTCACATTTAAAACATAACCAACTTCTGAAGGGTCTCTGACTCAATAATGCCTACTGATGTTTTCTGAAGGGATTGTTTTATAATACCTCTGCTTTAGAATAACAGCAGACTAGTTGTAAATCAAACAGAGGGACAAAGTCATTAACATATGACACCGTCTAACCCAGGTGACTATCCTTCTACTACTATTACTTGTTAATTACACTGTCAGGCAGACAGGGGACCAAGTCATTGTTATACAAGTCTCAAGTGAGTTTCAAGTCTTTATCGTCAAGCTTAAGTAAAGACAAGTCAAAGTCAAGACAGGTAACAAAAAGTCAAGTCCCAAGTCTGAAAGTTCCAATTTCAAGTCCTTTCGAGTCTTTTTGCCTTTTTTTTATTAAGTTTTATTATGCGTTGTTTGTAAATGATTGAACATATGTAGTGAAACCAGCACAAATAATATTTGATAATTAGCTAAAGTCAGTTAACGTTGGATACCTTATCGTAGCGAAACAAGTTACCTGCTGTTGCAAGTCCCCATCTGTGAATTGCATATTCCTTTGTGCAAATTGTGTAATTAGGTTTATGTAGCTGTGAAGACATTACACTTAGGAGCCTTTGATTGGCTGTGCTGCAACTCACATAGGGGGAGAGTGATTAGTGACGGAGAGAACGTCTGCTTTTAAAAAAATAAGTACAATTAATTAATTATACCCACTTTTTAAATGATAGATGTAAAATAAAGTATTTTAGACTAAATACAGGTACAAGTCCTGAGTCACTGATGTAAAAGTTCAAGTTAAGTCACAAGGCTCACAGCATTTTTCCAAGTCAAGTCTTAAGTCATTCTTATGTCAAGTGCAAGTATAAAAAAAAACACGTTTCTGATAAACTTATTTTGAGAGTTAAAATATGAGAAACGATGGAAAAGAAAAATGAAACTGTAACTGTCCCCGTTTCTTTATTTAGTTGTGATATCATTTAATTATTTATCTCTTGGTTGGAAAAGTTAGATTAAAAAGTAAAATCGTCACATCTTTTGACTAATTTTTTTTTATAGTGATGAACACTGTTACCGTGGAAACAAAAATCTTTTTAAATCAATGACTTGATGTAAAGTGTTTAGTCTTCTTACATAGAAAAGTTTTAAACTAATCTGCCTGGAGTTTTTTATCCAGTTGACTCTTGAGATGACACTCTATTAATTGGCACCATATAAATAAACAGCTCAAATAAACTGCTGGCTCTCGCACTCACACTAGATGTTTCTCCCATAATATATGCAATTAAATTTGACTGATGGTTTTAAGACCAGGAAGATTGTTGAAAGAGAAATCAGTCAAAGCTTTAAAAGAATATGGAGATTGGTCAAAAACAGATCCGTCCATGTATAAACTTCCTGTTACTATTAAATAAAACATATGAACTGTTGCCTTTTTTTAATTAATGGATCTCCAGATAAGGCACAAAAATACACATTTCAAAGTCAAGTAAAAAAGATAAAAAGAAATCCATATTTATTTTAAAAGATCAAAGTACAATATCTTCAAATAATCGCTACACATTAATGAAAAAAGGAAGAATAGGAAATAGACTTTTCCTGTCCTGCTGTGCAACTCCAGCTGTTGCTACATTGATAAACCCTGATGAAGTTCTCTCACACACACACACATTAACACACATACACACACACACACACATTCACACACATACAGACACAGGTAGAGATGAAACAAACATCTCTAATGGTTAGGGGTCGTGAAAGTCGTGAGGGGGTTCCAGAGAGAAGATCTGGAAGGTGTTTCCGTGTCCCCGCAGGCCCATTCCTGTAAAGAAACAAACACTTAGAGGCAGCCTATTAAGGGATGTGCAATGTCATTTCCTGGGGCAGGGTTCATATCCTACCACTGCTTTCATTGCTAAATATATTCTCCTGTTTTTGAGACAGAGCTTGTGATGTTTCAGAGTAACACGAAACAACAAATGTGAAGCTTTTGGCTCAGTCTTCACATCAAATGTAGTTCTAAACTTAAGAAAATAACCAGGATTTGTTGAAATTTTGAAAAGTAAAAGTAAAGAAGGCAAAGCAGCCTTTTTTAATCCTCTACACTTATGCAAGTGTTAAAACAAAATGAGAACATCTCATGGAGAACTTTCATTAATCATGCAAAAATTAAACAATTAAGACACAACTGTTCTCCTAAGACATAGTCTGCTATCTTAAGTGGCTTTCTAATGGTAACGGTGAAAGAGCTGCAGAAATCCACCCCAGAGCGAGTGTGTAAACGACACACTAGCCTCCATGGAAGGCTGACTTTTGCCACAATCCATATAGAGAACAACGTACACATGATAAAAATGCTATAGTTATACAAGACTAACATTGACACTTTAAACCTACATGTAAACAGGCTATTTGCTCTAACCCTAGCCTGTACAACCTGACTGAATAACGCAGGGCGTAATTCAGTTTGGTAAGCCGCCGTTGTCTCAGACCAGATCTGGCCGAGCCAATCAAAGCGCGGAAGGCTGGATTTTATGATGCGTGACTCTCAGTTCCAGAATTACCCATAATGCAGCAATGCTTTTCTGCTAATTTAACAGAAAGCTCGCAACCACTATGGAGCAATCTTGCAGTGTCAATTAGGAAATCCAACAAAGTTAAAAAAAAAAAAAGAAACCACTGGACTTTGCTTTCCAAGTTTGAAGATGTTTGATTCCCATCCTGGAAGCTTTCTCAATGTAAAATATCTGGAGTAATGTTGAGTTCTAGGCTTACAGAGTGGCATAAACATAAGCCTTGTTATGGCTTAGAAAACATGCAAAATGAACCAAAAAACAGGTCCACCCCTTAGTAATAGGGAGTAGCTGAAGTTGCTGTTGGCCTGCAAAACCTGAAGCTCTCCCATGCCTCTGAAAAGGAAATTGTTAGGGTCTTGGTCGGCCTGGCGACATGTTTTTTTCACTTGCATGGCGATGAGGTTGGAAATGATAGCAGGAATGGATTCAACTCCATTGCTGCCTTGTAGATTTTTGAGAGCTGGAACCTAAGTTGTTTTTTCTCTCTTAACATAAATGGCTTCGTTCACACACCTTTTAAACCACATGTCTTCTTTGTCCAAACTGTGAACATTCTGGTCCTCAAACTAATATCTTTTGTCCTTAAGGTGTAGGTGGACAGCAGAGTCTTGTCTGGCGGAAGTTGCTCTTCTGTGTTGGGTCATGCGCCTGTGGAGAGGTTGTTTGGTTTCTCCAATATCAGGATCCGAGCATTCCTCACTACATTGAAAAACATACACCACTCTGCTCATCTTAGGTCTGCGAGTTTTGTCCTTAGGATGCACTTGCCTCTGTCTAAGTGTCTTGTTTGGTTTGAAATGTACTGGGATTTTGTGTTTAGGGAAAATACTCTTGAGTTTTTCAGAGACTCCAGCAACATATCGAATGGCGATGTTGTTGCATTTAATCTTCTCACCGTTATGTTCTCCTGTGTGTCTATTGGATTTCCTTGCTGATTTGACAAATGCCCTGTTAGGGCATCCACAGGTTTGGATGGGAAGCGAAACGTCTTCAGACTTGGAAAACAAAGTCTGGTTTGTTTTTTAGCTTTTTTAACTTTGTTGGAATGACTATGACCTGGATAACTGAAAACCACCATAAATCAGGATTGTAATAGAAATCAAACTTTATATACTCAGACTTTTTAGGAAAAACCAGCAGAAATCTTTTACTGTAGAGTTTCTACGATGGTTTGACATGTTTCAGGAACTACAAAATAAAAAAAAAACAGAACCCCCAACCTGTAGTTTTGTGTCTCAGTAGTTATCAGATTGGTTCTAACCTGATGAGGCGTACCCTGCTGGTCCCACCTTTGAAATCAAACTTGACCAGCTCTTTACCAGACTGATACTCCTTGTTTTTGGCATATCAGTCTAGCTACTCTAACCCTGCACTGTAGAAACATCCTCGACACAGTGACACACGATAGTGACAGTATCATGCTTTTGATTTGTTTGAGGTTGGTCTTCCAGCAAGGGCCTGCACGTGCAATTCTTTTTAGAATGTGCAATAAATGGGCTTGTTGTGGTTGATTTACAAAGATTGCTGCACAAATGTTAAGATAAGCAAAGCGGCCACAATAAATTGAGCAGGCTGCATGTTCTGAAGGCAGTTCAGAGTGGTCCTAAAAGAAAGATGAGGTTCTAAGCCATGTGGTAGGAGGCAAAAATGATAAACATAATTTCAATTATAATAATTATAGAACTGGATGTAATTTATAGAGAATGTTACATTGGTAAAGAACAAAAGCAAAAAAAATAATAAAATGGTGAAAATAAAAGTTTAATATAGAAAATGGAAGCTTTATCTGGAGTCTTGAAAGCCAACACATCTCATCAAACTGTTTTCAACTCACTTTATGATCTTCGTTGTAGTAAAAAGAGTCTGTGTCAATGTTTAATTCACATCTAATTATCTTCCACGGCATCGCAAATCAAAAATAATTGCCATCAGCCTTTTTTCAGGGAGATCTGCATGAGATTTAAATGTTTGTTTTTCCTTTATAGGAAATAAAAACTTATTTGTCATTCAGCAGCCCAGAGAAATTCTATTTTTAATTAGGCTAATTAGCATCATAGAAAGCCATACACACTTTGATTTATTCATGTGCAACAAAAGCACATATTAATGCAAGATGTAAAACATAAACCTTAAATTATTTTTTGTTCTGCTCTCCAGAACTAGGAGAAACCAGCTGGTGGCGACTGCATTCTGTTGTTTATGATGGCTGCCGAGGAGCGGTGCACAAGGAGACAGCCTGGAGAGAGCCTTTAGTCTGTTGAGAGCCTTTCATCAAGCTAATTAATGAAAATAATTACACCTAATGAGAAGCATGTGCTAACAGTGCACAACAACACTAATGAAAAGCAGTGTGTGTGCAGATTTGAGTAGAAATATGTTTTAGAGAGGCGATGGGCTGATTTGTAGTGATGAATGAGTCTGTTTACAGCAGAGCGAGCAGGAAAGTTTATTCCTGTTTGTAAGAGGAATCTACAAACTGAGGACACGAAAATCCCTTTCATTCCAGCAAAAGAAATGCAAAATCTTCCTTCCCCTGTCACTGTGAATGTTCACACAAACCTGCAATTCCAGAGACAATACTAACAAGGTGATCTTTTACATTTCTGTTTATAAATCGTACTAAAACTTAAAGAAAAAACTGACACAGGGATCCTACTTGTTTCCTTTCCTCAGTTCTTTTCAAAGTTATTCACACATTTGCTTCTTTTCACCTGTTTGCAGATTGTAGCATAAAATATCAATGTTGGAGCAAGGCTGTACATGGTTATTACACAAAATGCAATTTAATGGAAAAGGTTTGTGGGTGTATTTACATTTATGCCTCTGAGTCCATTCTTTGAAGGATCCCTTTTTGCATTAAATAAAGGTTGAACTTTATGAAACTACATCTCTACCCTATCAGACTGTATGAAAACATCTGGGAGAATTTTTTTTTTTTTTTACTCACCTCAGATTTAGCTTTTCACTCGGACTGCACCGTTCTGATGCATTAATATTCATCTATTGTTTGCTTCCTGTTGTTGTCCTCCTAATAAACTAATCTACTACAGAATCTGAGCCACCATAGAATCTAACAGTTTTTCATCTATCATTGCCTTTATATTCAGCCCATCACATTTGGGCAGTTGACATTTGTTCTGATAAATACACATCTGCACAGCTTGATACTACCACCGCCATGTTTCTCTGCTGTGTGTTTTGGCTATATCTCTATCATGTCGGACGTAAAGTTCAGCTTTTTGCTAATGGGACCAAAGCAGGTGCTTCCACATGGTTGCTGTATTCCCTATGGTGTTTGGCATAATTTAGATTTTTTTATTTTTTCCACTTTTCTTTGATTCTTGTTTTTCGTTATTCATCAAAATTCTCTGTTAATCTTAAAAGCTTTCTATTCATACTGACAGAAAAGAAATAACACATACATAGGCTATTTTAACTGACTAGCTAATGCCTGAAAGGAAATAACTGCACTAGATTCCATCAAAGGTTATTAAACTTAAGAGAGTTGAATAAAAACCCACAGTTTAATTTATCTATAAGTACAAAATAGAAAGATGTACCTGAGAAGTGAAACTGGTTCGTCTGAGAGTAAGATCTGAAAAAAAAAAAAATGTATACACTTTAAAGACATCCCCTCTGCATCGGTGATTCCCATGCAGTTTGGAGGGGATGTTTTAGTCTTATAAAAGCAGAATCGACAGAAAAGGAGGTCTTAAAGAGGAAATTAGATTCTGTGGAAGAGAACTTACCAACAATGTGATCTCGAGCGTGCACTTTTGTCCAGAACTGTGCTTGTTTCCTGGAACAGAGCAACAAGAGCACCTCTTAATGTAAAAAAAGTCTACAAGCATTTAGGAAATTAATTTCTTAGAATATGCATACATCTAAATATTTACTACTCTATAAAAAATATTTATTCATTGTATGTGGGGAAAAACACTTTCTTTGTGCTCTGCAGGATCCATTATTGATTGATTGATTGATTGATTGATTGATTGATTGATTGATTGATTGATTGATTGATTGATTGATTGATTGATTGATTGATTGATCTCACAATGGAAAAATGTACTCATTACATCGGCTCAATAGTCAAAAAGAAGAAGAAGGTGCATGGAGGTATATACAGTATATATAGTGTGTCCACATATATATTTATATGACAGCTGAAGTCTCTTATATAGCAGGATTATTATACAGGGTTATTGCACAGGGTATTAAAGGGATAGTTCGGGATTTTTGACATGAATCTGTATGGCATCCCCATCACCAGTGTCATGCAATCACACTGACTTACCCCTGGCAGCGTCCTGTGAGCAGAGTTCTCGTCCAGCTTTGGTCAAGCCGAAAGTAGTCCGGCAGGTTTGCTAGACCCAGCGAAATAAAACGTTTCTCTTCCCAAAACATTATGTGTTCAAAAGAGTGATATTTTTGCATCCCAATAACATTGTAGTGGAAAAAGTCACACGTCGTTATCACTTGGTCCTATTTTCTCTCTGTTCGTATCAGTGCGCGCCGTCATTCTGACAGCGAGCTCAACAACAGCCAGATGCATGTCTCGCTCCGCCTAGCTAGGAGCTAGGCGGAGCGAGACATGCATCTGGCTGTTGTCAGGTTAGTAGGCCCTAGCTGTCAGAATGACGGCGCGCACTGATACGAACAGAGAGAAAATAGGACCAAGTGATAACGACGTGTGACTTTTTCCACTACAATGTTTTTGGGATGCAAAAATATCGCTCTTTTGAACACATAATGTTTTGAGAAGAGAAACGTTTTATTTCGCTGGGTCTAGCAAACCTGCCGGACTACTTTCGGCTTGACCAAAGCTGGACGAGAACTCTGCTCACAGGATGCTGCCAGGGGTAAGTCAGTGTGATTGCATGACACTGGTGATGGGGATGCCATACAGATTCATGTCAAAAATCCCGAGCTATCCCTTTAAATTAGGGCTATAAATCTATTACCTTCTCTTTTTTTCCTCGGCGGCTGCTTTTACTTTAAGAAAGTGAAAATGAGAGAGATCATGATTTTTATAGAGGAAATATAGAAAGGTAAAATTAGACATTTTATACGGGATATACCTTTCCTCTTCGCAAACATTACCGCAAAAACCAGCGAGCATAGAAATAATACAGCTGCAGAGAAGGAGCCCAGTAAAAGAGGCCAGTCCACGTCTGCTAAAGGAAAACAAAAATGTTTTAAAGGCATTGTTATCTTTCATTCATCTTTTCCCATTTAATGAATTAACAAAACAGAAATCACTGTGGCCCACCTTTCGATGGTGGAGACGAACCTCCTGAAAGATGGAGGGAAAGAAGCCGTCAAAACTCTATTCACTGAAAATATTGCTGATGGTGGATGTGTAGGTCCGTACCTGTGCTTATAGCCAGAGGGATACTTCGCTCAGAGGGGCTCCACGAGCTCCCTAACAGCGCACTGTACTGACACTGATAAAAGGTCACTGGTGAGTCCTGGACTGGCACTGGGAATGTGGCTTGATGGTGCAATGCATTTGCATGGTAAGTTGCCACAGGATGTTCGTTACCAACTACATAGAGTGAAAACAAGGAACCGGGGTATGCAGGGGATCCTCTGCAGAGCATATGCCACACATCCGTCTGCTGCTGGAGGATGAGGGAGGGAACAGGGAGCACACCTGGGAGCAGAGAAGTCAACATCAAGCCTGAGAATATTATCCCTTTAACCTTTAAATCACAATAACCTCAACCAGCAGTTTTTAACTTTTTAAACATACGGTCAGTTAGTCTAATAGAAAACATTGCATCACAACTAAAACTATGATCATGCAAAGTGGTAGAGCATTTCCGTCATTCAAGCTCTTGGTCTTTTCTCTTGAGATGCTCCACTTCAACTTCTTGACTTATAATATTATTCTGATAAAAACATTTGTTTGCCATGAAAGAAAAGTGCATCAATTTAATTGAATTGAAAAATCAGCAAATGAGATACAGGAAAGCAAC